ATACTGCAAGAGGGGGGGGGGGCTGGGGTGAGAAGGGGGAGGAGGAGGGGAGAGGATCGAGGCGAGAAGCCGAGGTGTGAAGAGGAGGGGGGCGCAGACGGGAGAATGAGGATGGGGCAGGAAGAGTGTCAGAGTGTGCTATATCATAATTGGGTGGGTGAGAGGAAAGAAGGCTCGGGAGGACAGGGGGGGGAGAGCGAGGTGGCGGGATGGAGGGAAGGAGGGATGATGAGAGCGCGGAGAAAAAAGGGGAGGCTGGAGCGAGATAGACAGAGGACACACGTGAGAGAAGATTTGGTTGTTAAATGCTTAATGGCATGTCATGTGTTGCTGGGAATGGTCAGTGGTGTTGGGTTGTGATTATTGTGTGCTTGTTGGCAGGCCCATGATGTGAAATGAGGATCATGGGTGCAAACGCATACATGCCCAAAACAAAATGCAATAACATGTGTGACCTGTGGGGCCCGGAACGGACGGCTTGAAGAGAAACCAGGAGATGTTTGCATGGAACTGCGGCGGATCAGATTACGTGTGAGCGGATCCGCATTCGGATGTGACCCGAGATGCAATTGATATGACTTCCGTTCGCATGGATATGATCCCGCTTGTTCCAAACATTATGTACACGCAACTTGTTCCGAGCATCCCAAATAGTGTTCCACATGTATACGTTCCTATTGTTTTGCCATGTATAATTGAAGTGGGGATCCCGAACGGAATCAGAGCCCAAGCCCCATGGCCATCCCGTGTCAATCATATGCGGGGACGGGGGTTGCTGTACGGAGTGTCGCGGCTCGCACATCCAAGAGGAATACCGTTCGTCCTGCATGAAGAAAGGCGGAGGGGGGATACGGAGGATGAGAACAGGAACACAAAAGGTTGCGTGGATTCCACCTCCCACCAACTTGCCTTGCCCTGGCCGCGTTCTTGAAACCATGTCATGCATGGTGGCACTCGGAAAATTCAGTGGTCGGAAGCCTGCTGCACTCTACAGGTCGCACATGCACAATTCATGCGCGATTTAAGCTTGCCGCACTGACAGCTATCGTCCGACGCCTACGACTCCCAACAGCTCAGTCGAGCTTCGCCGACGAGGGCCGTGGCCGTTGGGGATGGCGGAGATGCCCCAGGCGCTGGGATTCGAAAGGCCCACTCCATGGCCACGCGAGGGCTGTGGCCGTTGGGGACGGCGGAGATGCCCCAGGCGCTGGGATTCTAAAGGCCCACTCCATGGCCACGCCATTGGCCTGAGGCACCTCAAAACGGGCCCAAATAATAACGCCTGCGGAGCGCGATGTCCAAGGATGCAGCGCGGGGCAGATGGCAAAGCGTGGAACTTAATAAACGAATCACCGACACCATGTGGCAAGAACCACCATCAAAAATGGCACATCCCGTGCCACTGCAAATCTCACTGGAACTTCTCAATTTCTGCGCGCGAGAACCAGCAGTACTTCACCACACCAGAGAGCGTTATCCGGCACAAAACCTTTGATCAATCTGTCAAAGCAAGGCGGGGGGTTCCGAATCCAGAGGACTCTGGTGGGATTGATTACCCTGGCCATCATTCGAAAGCCAAAATTTCGAAAAGTCCACCGCCTGCGAAAATATCCCAGGACCCCAGGGACCCCAGGGGGGCGTGGATGTGGGTGTGATTGGGCCCCAGGGGGGCCGACATGTCTATGTACACCGCCGCAAGAAGTGCAGGACCATCAGTTCTCAAGGCGGTTGATCGGAGTGAGGGGGCCGAGCGATGCTACTCACACTGTCCCTGGGTGCGTGGCCGTGGTGCACTTTCGCGGTAAGGCTTGTCGCCACCGCCATCTCGACTGGCATCGGGACCAATTTCACTTACTCCCCTCTCCCCCTCCCTCGCCTCCTCCCGCCCCCTCCTCCCTCCAACCTCCCCCCCCGCCCATCCTCCTCCCACCTGTCTCCAACACGCATTCATCATCTTTTTCCTTTTTTCCGGCCTCCTCCTCTTTCTTACTCCTAGAACAGGGCAGCGGACCGAGTCACATCCTGGGGCCAGCCTGCCGGAGAGGCGCCACTCGAACGGCGAGCAGGCCAGGCCTCGGGCGAGGCGGTCGGGCCAGGGCACCTCCCTCGCCCTTCTTCGGCCACCGTCGCCCGTCTTCGCTCGTCCAGGGTCATCGCCTTCTATCGTCCGTCGCCTGAGGTCCGTCATCTGTCGTCCGTCGTGGTCGTCGTGGTCGTCGTGGTCGTCGTGGTCGTCGTCGTCGGTCGTTGTGAGGTCCTGCTCCGCCAGCCCGCTTCCCCGCGCGCAATCACCTTGTGTCGCAGAGCTCCTCCGGCCCTCCATTATCCTTGGACCCCTCCCACGCGTGGCAGGCCCTCTCCGTCCTCCCGTCCTCGACCCCATGTGCTTTTCTGACTCTCCACCTCCTCGTCCTCCTCCTTCTCCCCCGCGTTTCGCTCATCCCGCCCTCCCTCCTGGTCTTCTGCCTCCTCCCTCCTGCATCCTCCTCGAACCATGCCTCTCGAGCTCCGCCCCCAGGAAGTATGAGCCGAAACGCTGCCCTGATAGCGAACGCAGGACAGCGCCAGAGCTGCGCCCTGCAACTGCTCACAGGCACAACACACAAGAGACATGAGATAACTCCTTGGAGAGCTAAGAGAGTTGTTGAATCTGCCGACCCTGTCGGCGTGCGTGAAGGGTCTGTCTGGTCCCGTCGACGGGACGCCTTTTCTGTTTATCTTTCCCCGTCGGGAGGGAGAGAGCACTCTCCCGTCGTCGGGGGAAGGAGTCCAGGGATTGAGGGAAATCGACCCACGTCGTAGTCACGTCAAAACGAAGCCCCTTCCCTTTGTCCCTTCCCCGGCGGGGGGGGCGAGGTCACGGGGGGGGGGGGGCAGATTCGCATCGCCACTGGGGGTCCACGCCGGTCCTTCTCCGGCGCGCCAGTCCTCCTCGTCGGGTCCTCCCCCCCCCAAGGGTCCCGGGGGGGAGGGGAGTCAGACACGCATCCGTCCCTGGGGATCCTCCTGCCCCTCCCCTCCCCTCTCCCACGCCGGTTCTCCTCCGGTCCTCCTCCCCAGGGGGGGGGTCCAGGGGGTCCTTTTCCTCCTCCTCCTTCTCCTCTTCCTCTTCCTCCTCCTCCTTATCTCCGCCTCCTCGTCTTCCTCCTCCTCCTCCTCCTCCTTTTCCTCCTCCTCCTCCCCATCCTGGTCGTCGCCCATGTCTTTCAGGGTTGGCGGAACCGGCCGTCAGGCCTTCAGAATAAGAAGCCTGCTGGCTGGGCTAGGCCAACTCCTCTCCAAAGCTCCCGGTTAAACATCCTCGCAACAACTCCTGTGAACTGGCAGCATGTTCCGGCAAGCGTGTTCCTACTCGTTCCCAAAACGCGTGCCGAAAGCCTTTTCCGCAGCTCCTTCGAAGCTCCCCGGGAGCTCTGTCGAAGCTTCGTTCTTAAGCCTGCAAGCTCCCCAGGCGTGCTTTCCAGCATCTTTGCAAGCGTCCCCCCCCAAGCATTTCACTCGCTTTGGACTGCTCTGCTATCCGGGTTTGCATAACCCATATAAGGGATCATTAGCGCTGCATGCCGTAGCGTTGCCTAGCATGGCCGTACATTGAACCAGGTCACCGAACTTCGCGCATCGCACCCCGCGATGCGCGGTAATCTTCGCGACCTCGCGCCACCGCCTTGTACAAGCGCAACTCTCCAACCCAAGCCGCGGAGCGCGAAGCGCGACTATCTATGTGCCCCTGGGGGTGACCTGGTTGAAGAGCATGGCATGCCATAACACACCATGCCACGTCATGGAAATTCAGCCCCAAGCGTGTCATGCCGTCGCGCTACTCCGCGCTGCTTCGCGTGTACAAACAAATGAACACGAGCAACATCTGCGCGATCATCCTGGGGCTGGGGCTCTAGGACCCGGCCCGTCACGTGTGCACCTGGTCTACGTCTATTTTTTTGACAAAGAGAAGACGAGCCCACTAGCAAACCCAAATCTGGGAATCTGATCTGCTAGGTCACCCCGCTTCGCGCATCGAGCTCCGCGAAGCGCGATGCGCGGGTATCGTCGCGCGGCCGTGAGCCCTGGTGTCGCCGCCCTGGAGAAGGACAACTCTCTTGTCCAAACCGCGACGCGCGAAGCGCGATTATGTCCGGTCCATGCGGGCGGCCTAGACGATCTGTGTCATGTGGGATGCAGGGCAAGTTTGCCCTTCTCACGTTTCCCCTATGCGCCGAGCTGTCTCCGCGAGCAAAGGAGGGCGGGGGGGGCAATCAAGAGGGGCTCTCTCCTCGGTTCCTGATCGTGGCTGCTTTGGGCCTCGTTCGAGCCCCGGGTGAGGGCGAGAGGAAGACGGGGAAGCATCATCGGAAACCTGCGAGGAACAACAATTGCCAGCTCGCGCAATCAAAACTGCTTGCTGGAACCAGCCTGAAGCTAATCCAAGTCAAACTCTGCAGCTTCCGACTTACGCAATCCACATGGTGCTTCACGCAGCCCACTCTTTCGACCAGCCGTCCTCCCACATCAACATGAAGAGGCTGTTCAACTGGAACTGAGACTAACTATACTAAGCCTGCTGGACCGACACTCAGCCTGTCTGGGCATTTTGATCTTGCCCGCTCAGCGCAACCCATCGCAATGCCACGCTGCATCCCTTGTGTGAATTGCGTGGTGCCCCAATGCCCAGGGAATGCGATGCATTCTTATGCTGTACGGGCGTCGCTTGCCAACTGGCTCGCGCTCAATGGAAATACAACAAATCTGACGGCGCCAGGACCGGACCCGCATTCCGCATCCAGCGACGAGCCCTCTAAAAAAACCTTGGCCCAGCTGAGGGATCAGACTTGGCTGCCCCTGGCTCATGCTCGCGCCCATCCCGGCCGGGCGGGGCTGGACACCACACGTCCCGCTCAGCAGAAAACGAACTCCCACCTCTGGACGACGGCTGCAGCTGCAGCTGCAACGGCCATCACACCCTCCTCTCATCTTGCTGCAGATCGAACTGCAGCCTATTGCGCTTACGCTGCGGAAGAAGATCGCTTGCGCTCGGCGAAGAACTTGGAGAGCTCGCCGGCGACCTCCTGAAAGCGACCCGCGGAGCCTCGCTCGCGCAACCACTGGGACACCGCCCCGTGAATGTGGGCGTGCGCGTAGCGATGGTCGAGGAGGAGAACCGCGGCCCAGTCTCTGGAGTGACGTATGCTGCGGCCAACGCACTGGTTCACGCTCTTCATGCACCGCGCGGCGTAGAACTCCTTGCCGCTCAGACCCGCTGCGCCACGCGCACGGCAGCCGTCCAAGAACTTCATCTTCTCCAAGAGACCCAAATCACTCGCGTTGGGATAGGGCAGCCCGACCACAGCCACGAGTCTGCAGAGGTCGTCTCTGAAGTCGATGCCCTCGCTCAGCTTCGCGCCGCACACCGCCAGGAGCACGGCACTCCCCTCCCGCCGCACAGCCGCCGAGAACGCCTGCAACGTGTCCTCTGGCGGGCCGCTGCTGGCACCAGCACACCTGTGGCCCCGGCTCTCTACGAAGACAGGCCTGCCGCCGATCCTGACCCCCGCGGGCGGGGCCATGACCCCGAGGTAGTCGAACGAAGGGAAGAAGAAGATTACACCACCAGGCGTGGCTGCCGAAACGGACGCGAGGATGGACTTTAGCTCGTCCATCTGCTCACGGCTACCGCGCGCATCCCTGCGGAAGTCGAGCGCGCGGCCGCCTGGTCCGTGGGTCACGTAGCGGGCGAAGATGTGGTCTTCAGGGACCACGTGCTTCCCCGAGAAATTGCTCACGAACCTCTCACTCTTGTCGACTGCCCCGAGGCCGGCACACAGGGGCGCAAACTCCGCTCGGGGTTCCAACGTGCCGCCTGCGAAAACGACTGCTCGCGCGGAGGCCACGAGCTCGCGGAAGCGCGCCTCCGTGTCCAAGCTCAGGTAGCGGATGCAGGCGGTCTCGCCCTCCGCTTCGGGCATCTGGCAGAGAATGCGGTCGTTGGAGGTGGAGCCCAACAACGCTGCCAACAACTCCGCTACGCCATAGATGGAGCTGGCAGCCCCTGGTCGCTGCGCCCCGCCCACGCGTATCGCCTCACCATACCCGCGGACTTTTCGGGCAAGTTCTGTGTTCTCGAGAAAACGGTTCAGGTCTGGCAGATCGAAGTTGTCGGCGCCCACCTCGAGAAGGAACCCTCCCACTGTATACGCACTCGACGTCTTCAGCGCCCCCAGGTGCCGGTGAAGTCGTAGACATAGCTGCCGCAGTTGCCGCAGCCTCATGGCGTTTTCGGCCGCCAGCCGAGCCTCGTACTTCGATGCGTAGGCCTCGAGGTCATCCGTCGCGGCGCGGGCCTGGGGCATGGTGAGCGTAACAGAGTTGCCATCGCTAATGACACAAGAAACCAAAACAACACATACATAAACTTTCAGAGGCCCGCGGGGATTTCGTGGGTCGGCGCTGGCACCTGGTGACGGAGGCGCCGCCAAGGGGGTTCCAACTCCGACCGTCAAACCAACAAATCCATGCGGGCCTCCGAAAGTTTGTGGCTATGTAGTTTCTGTCCTTCGGAATCCCCTCTAACAAATTGTGTGCTTCATCGACGATGAGCACGTTCCCCTCCACTCGGATGCCCAACTTACGCCGTGTTTGGGCGTTCACGATCGACGCGTGGGGCACCAGGAGGACATCTGCCTCGCGCACGGCCTGGCGGGAGCCATAGTACGGGCAACCACCGCCGACGGCCAGACGGCCCCGCTGCGTCATGGCTTCGATGTCCAGCAGATCTGTCAGACAAGCGTCCGCCATGGACTCCGCCCGCTTCTTCAAGCCGCAACCTCCCTGCACCTTCTCCCCCTTGTCGGTCGCGACCCTGCACAAGTCTCGGAGATGCGCCGGGTTGCCCCGTGCCTTGGTCCGCACAGTCTCGTTCACGCACAAGTTTGTTCTCGACCCCAGAGTGACCACGGACAGGTTCTCTGGAAGGGCAACCTTCTGGATGCGCGAGATCTCCTTCAGCACCTGAGCCAATTGGGTGTGCGTGCGGCTGCAGAATATAATCTGCAACTTGTAGTCGAATGCCGCATCCATCACCCGCCCTTCTGGGTCGGGCAGGTCCAGGTCCTCTGGCATCGTCAGCCGCGGTGGGCGCTCCAGGGAGAACTCATCGCCTCCGCCGCTCAGGGGTGGCGGCATCTGGTGCGGCGAGGGTGTGATCCGCCTCGCCTTGTCGCGGTGGCCGGTGTCCACCAGCGCCGCCGAGCGCTGCGTCCGAAGGCGCCGCTCTTCGCGCCGCATGCCGCGCCGCCTCCAGTGGGCCGCAGCCACCGTTGCCGCCGAGGCGCGGCGGTGCGCGCGAGCCCAGTCCTCGACCGTGCCCTCGTCGTCGTCAGGCACCAGCGCATCTGCCAGGAGGTCGCGCTCGCGCCGGCGCATCCAGGCCAGCGCGGGGCAGAGCAAGGACAGCGTCTTGCCGGTGCCCGTGGGGCTCTCCAATATGCCCACGCCGCCGCTCTCCAGGGAGCGGTAGACCTGCCCCATGAAGGCAAGCTGCACCGGATAGGGCGGGAGCGGGAAGCCAAAGTCCTCGCCGACCTCCTCTCCAGCGGCATCACGAGCGGCCGCTGTGCCGGCGGCCGGCACGACCCCCTGCCCAGGAGGGCCACACATGGGGGCCCCCACGCGGCCCGCGCGGCCTCTCGCGGGCTGCTGCGAGGCCGTGCAGAGAGTGCTGGAAAAAGGCAATGCAGGGACACGAGATGGGAATCCCGAGTTCAGAGGAGAAACAGAAACCACCGCCACCGAGAACCCATCGGGGTGGACCCACCCCTGTGCGGTGGCACGCCTGAGCGTCGCCTGGTACTGGGTGACGCCCGTGCGTGCCACCGCCCAGGGGCCGATGAGTTCTCGATGGCGGTGGTCTCTGCTTCTCCTCTGACTGACAGGTGGAGCGCGCACGGCACAGCCTGGACTCTCGCATCTGGGGCACGACGCGGGGCCCAGGCCTCCGACGCCCCCTGACGCTCGCAGCACGCCCGGCCTGCGGAGCTCTCCATCCCGCTGCTGGTCGCCTCGCTTCGCGCTCCAGGCCGCCCCCCACGAGGAACAGGGGCACCTCTCACCCATCTCGGACCGCGAGGCGCAGAGCTCTCTCTCTGCACGCAAGCGGCTGAACATCAGGCACACGCTGGCGTGGGTTGCGGATCCATGGATCCGGCCTGATTCGGCGACGGTGCGCATCGATTGTTGTATGGAAGAGGGGCCTGTCGCTGATCCACGAGCCTTAGTCCATGTTCGCGTTGCCTCGAGAACTGGGTCACCCGAGATCCCCCGAGGTCTCCGGAGGTCCCTAGCAGACCCAGTGAACATCGAATCGGGAAGTCGGATCGAATCGAGATGTGCCGTATCGGGCCGCACTGGCACGGAATTGAAATCGAAGCGGACCTGCTGCACCAATGTGAACACCAACGTCATGCGATCATCGGAACTTATCGGAATCGAATCGGAGCGGCCAGGCTGGAATCGATATCAAACTGGATCGATCGGATCGAAGTGGACACTGACCTAGAGGCATCCAAAACAACAAACATCAAACTAACTAGATCCGCGATCCCTCCCTCGGCCCACAGACGATTCGTACAGATCTCCCACTGGAGATGTATCAGATTTGTTGGCAGACAGCGACCGTGCTGCAGTCCTTAGGCGGATGTCCGCTGACATCGAGCGAACTGTACCTTCCACATCTTTGAGAGAGCGTGATCCACCGCCGCTTTACTGTGGAAAATCGAATCGGGAAGTCGGATCGAATCGAGATGTGCCGTATCGGGCCGCACTGGCACGGAATTGAAATCGAAGCGGACCTGCTGCACCAATGTGAACACCAACGTCATGCGATCATCGGAACTTATCGGAATCGAATCGGAGCGGCCAGGCTGGAATCGATATCAAACTGGATCGATCGGATCGAAGTGGACACTGACCTAGAGGCATCCAAAACAACAAACATCAAACTAACTAGATCCGCGATCCCTCCCTCGGCCCACAGACGATTCGTACAGATCTCCCACTGGAGATGTATCAGATTTGTTGGCAGACAGCGACCGTGCTGCAGTCCTTAGGCGGATGTCCGCTGACATCGAGCGAACTGTACCTTCCACATCTTTGAGAGAGCGTGATCCACCGCCGCTTTACTGTGGAAAATTGCCGCCCTTTTCCTCCGGAACTCGGGGGTCCCCCCCCCCTCCGAGGTTCGAACCGGTAGTGACCCCCCCCAGTTTTCGAGTTCGAAGGGGGGGGGGGTTCGAACCGGTAGTGACCCCCCCCCCTTTTCATGATGAACTGGGGGGGGGAGGGGTGCGAACCGGTAGTGACCCCCCCCGGTTTTCCGGAGGGGGGGGGGGGGGGGGGTTCCGGTAGTGACACCCCCCGGTTTTCCGCCAGCAGCGGTAGGACACGCTCTTTCCAACATCAAGATCAGTATCAATATCATGATCACCATCATCATCATCACCATCATCTTGGCGGGGCAGAGGGCGGGTCTGACGGTGGCCGCGGAAGTCCCCTGCCACGGCGCGCGGCCTGTCCGCGATCCGTCCACAGACCACCCGTGGTCTGCCCGCGGCATCGGCGCGTTTGGCAGGCCGATAGGCTGGGGAGGCAAGCAAGAGGGAGGAGGGCATAACATCTGTGGGAGGCCAGGGAGGCTGAAGCGGGAGGCGGGGGGAGCAAGCACTGGGGGAGGAGCGCGAGGCAAGGGGAGGAAGGGTTGGGGGCAGGGGGGGGGGACGAGAGTTAGGAGGAGGAATCATGAAGGGAGGAATTCAAAAGTTCTGTGGGGGCTCTTGGTGGTCAGGGGGCCCTGGGTGGCGGTCAAACTGGTTCTGTGCCCAGCAACACCTCGGCGCGCACAACCTTGAAAAACACTGCAATGCATCAACCTGTCCGTTATCATGACCATCTCACATAGAGGTCCTGGTGGTCATCTTCAGCAGTAGCTGCAGCATCATCGGCATTCCCAGTAGCGTAGGCGTGCATGCGGTGGTGTGGGTGACTCGTTTCTTTCTCAAGCGCGCCTTCTGAAACTCGGCGAGCTCGATGCGCCCAGAACCGTCCTGTCAACGAAACATTTACACACAGCACATCTGCACAAAAGAAAGAAGCGCATGACACAATTGTATACTTCTGCCGCCGCTCACGTCGATTTCAGTCCAGGACGCTGTGGACACCCTCGGGGAGCAGGAGGCCGCCCAGACCCGACCAGAAAGCCAGAAGAGCGGCAACCTTATCCCGAGCAATAGCCTCATCAGTTTCACTTATACCTCTGTATGGATGTCTATATGTGGAACTTATTATACTCATGCATTCACCAATCCATCCATCCATGCATGCATGGATGGATGCATGAATGCGTGCGTACACACATCCATTCATCCGTACATGCATGCATACATACATCAGAGTGAAGGGCCGAACGGTCATTCACTGTCCCTGGGTGCGTGGCTGAAGTGGAATTCCGCGGTGCGGATTCTCGTTGTTGTTGTTGTTGTTTGTTGTTGTTGTTGGTGTTGTTGAACATTATTACTTCTAAAGAATAATGATTGTTGGGGCCCCTGGTGCACGACCCCCCCGCCGCGCCTAGGCCGCAGCCTCATTTTCATCATTTTCGTGAGGAAGTCTCAGGCAAAACGGGTTGGTCCGGATCCGGTTGTGTTGTTACGATCGGTTTTCCCTTGCAAAAAATAAGCTAAAGTGGACATTTCTTGTTCTAACATATCCAAACTTCAAGAATCCCTTGCAAAAATAAGGTAAAGTGGACATTCGCGCGCGCAAGACGAAATCCTTCCAAAACCTTAGTTGTCGTAGCGATTTTAACATAAAAACATCAAAAAACCAATGGTTTTTCAAAAAAAATGTCAACATTTCATCCCGCGCGCTCTTGCGGATTCGTAGGAAACCCAACACTTTTTAAACATTTCTGTCAAACGGGTTTTTGCGAGCAACTTTTTCGAACTTCAGCGACAACGGTTGCGCACCTGCCAGGGCCATCATCCCTGTCAAATAATACCATGCGGGACACATTCGTTTTTCTTCGCGCGCGCACGCCGTCGTCGTCGGCCGCGGGGCCCTGAATAGTAGCCACGGTCGTCCGCATGCCACGAAGTGAAGTGTCCGAACGTCATAGGGCGGGAAGCTGGGTGTGGGTGTGGCGAAGAGTCGTTTGGAAATTTGGTAGAGCTTGAACCGGCCCCCCCACAAAGTGGGGGTATTGCCCGCCTCCTATGAAAACCCTGGCACTGGTGAAAACGGAGTGTCCCCACGTGCTAGTAATTGTTGTTGTTGTTGTTGTTGTTGTTGTTGTTGTTGTTGTTGTTGTTGAACATTATTTATTCTAAAGAATAATTATTGTTGGGCCCCCTGGTGCGCGCCCCCCCTGCGCCGCCTAGGCCGCAGCTACATTTTCATCATTTTCGTGAGGAAGCCTCAGAAAAGAGGGTGTGTACAGGATCCGGTTGTTTTGTTGTAATCCGCTTTCCCTTGCCAAAAACAATAGAAAATGACATTTCTTGTTCTAATATAATCAAATTTCAAGAATCCCTTGCAAAAAATAAGGTAAAGTGGACATTCGCGCGCGCAAGACGAAATCCTTCCAAAACCTTAGTGTTCGCAGCGATTTTAACATAAAAACATCAAAAAACTAATGGTTTTTCAACAAAAAAATGTCAAAATCTCATCCCGCGCGCTCTTGCGGATTCGTAGGAAAACCAACACTTTTTAAACATTTCTGTCAAACGGGCTTTTGCGAGCAACTTTTTCGAACTTTTGCGACAACGGTTGCGCACCTGCCAGGGCCATCATCCCTGTCAAATAATACCATCCGCGCATGTGCCCAGCATGGCACAATTGGGCACATGCGCGCCCCGAATAAGTGACCAAGTTCTGTGGGTGTGTACCCCACGCCAGTGTAGTAGCCACGGTCGTCCGCACGCCACGAAGTGAAGTGTCCCAACGTCATAGGGCGGGAGGCTGGGTTTGGGTGGTCGCGAAGAGTCGTTTGGATATTTGGTAGAGCTTGTAATGCCCCCCCCACGAAGTGGGGGTATTGCCTGGTGTCGTATGAAAACCCTGGCACTGGGGAGAACACCACGCGTTCGGGTAAAATGATTGTTGTTGTTGTTGTTGTTGTTTGTGGTTGTCGTCGTCCCCCCCGCAACCCGCCCCGCGACCCACCCGCGACCCAACCCGCGACCCACCCCGCGACCCACCCGCGACCCACCCGCGACCCACCCGCGACCCACCCCGCGACCCACCCCGCGACCCACCCCGCGACCCACCCCGCGACCCAACCCGCGACCCACCCCGCGACCCCCCCGCGGCCCACCCCGCGACCCACCCGCGACCCACCCGCGACCCACCCGCGACCCACCCGCGACCCACCCCGCGACCCACCCGCGACCCACCTTCGACCCAAACCACGTTGAAGATACAAACCACCATTTTCGGCGCCTGCGGCGGGTTTTTTTTTGCATTCCTTCCAGGTGGAGAGCCCGCGACCCACCCCGTGACCAACTCTCGACCAACCCGCGCCCAAACCACGTTCAGGGTGCAAACCACATTTTTCGGCGCCTGCGGCGGGCATGTTTTGCATTCGT